TCTTCAACTCTGACTGGATAATGGCGAATGTAAGGATTTAATTTCATAATCATAAATCTTTCCATTCCCCACCATCCATTTGGAGTTGAAGAAGCTTCTTGGATGAGAAGTGAAACATCTTCAAAGAAAACACAGAAAGTCCAGTTGCCCCTTGAAAAAGCACCTTTGAGACAAACATGTTATCTAGTTGCTCATTTTTTCCAAATCCTTCAGTTTTCCCTTTAAAAGTACTCATACACACATATATATATCTCAATGACTTACTGAAAAGCAAAAATATGGTTGGTAGAATTATAATCTGGCATGTGCTGTTTATTTGCCCCACTTTTATCCTTTCAGTCAGGATTCTGCCATACTCCTTCCCAGACACTCTTAACAAACAAACCTCCCTGAATTCATTCTTTTCCCTTTGAGTAATTATTATCAGGCACAGAAGTAGCTAACAAATCACACAACCACTTCCTAAGCAAGCCACATCCATATTTTGACATTCCTCCTATGACATCATCACTACCATTTTTCCAATTTTACAGATCATTTAGGACTCCGTTTCATCTGTTTTTACTTGGACACATTTATTATAGCATTTGTTTTAAATCAATTCTTACTCCCGTATTCCTATCTCAAGTACTCCTCTAAATATTACCCTCCTTCAACTTGCAGTCCCAAATTGTTACCACTTTTATTTTGAATTCCATTTATTCTGTCAGGGGCTCCTTCCTTAACCCTTTTCACTCACTTCCAGAACAAAATGTTTCCATCAAAGCTGTTTTGCATTTCTTTGTGTTTTTAATCTTCACCATTCCTTGCACTCTTTGACTACATTCTCTTCACCTGTCTTTTTCTCACTCTTTAAAGCATACAACAACTTTTTTGAAGCAATTATTCTCTTCTTTGTATTTCCCTCCATCTTTAGCTTCCTTAACTTTACCATCTCACCAAGCCCCTTTTTTCAGCACATCCATTGTACTCTGTAGCATAATTTGTTTCAGTTTTCTTCAAGCAGGAATAGCATGCATCAGAGGAGGAAATAGAAACAGGTGACAGGCAGTGGGTCACAGAGCTTGGGTGGGTGGGGACATAGGAGTCTACACTTGAACCTCTTGGCATGGCTCACACAATCTGGCAAACCTCCTGCAAGGTACCGCAGATTATGCTCTAATGTGGTAGACCAAGTAATGACATGTTGGATAAAACACAGAAGGGATGAAATATTAAAAGGAAATCTCCCTGAGAACCAAAAGTATTGCCAGGTTCTGCTTTAGGACATTGGCATGCAATCATATTTACTGAAATCATTTTGTGAATGATGTCCTTGAAGGGAGGAATGATGGGCTACATATCTGGATTCCAGAAGGCAAATAATATAATTTCACCCTGATTTAGGAGTATCCCCTACTGTTCAGAGTTTTGAACTTAAAGGAATAGGCAAAAGAGCAGAGCTATAGTGCCAGCTTCTGGGACTTTGTAGAGAAATAAAGTGTAAGATCACACAAGCAGCAGTCTGCATTCCTAAAATTCCAATCCTTAATACCTCCCTGGGGAAAGAGATGGGTAACAAACAGACTTATTCATGAGAACCATGAAAAGCAAGCTAAAATTGCCATTCATTCAGCAGGATGCTGAATAAAGGCAGTTGCCCATAATACCATCATCTCGTGGCTCCTTAATGGATTCTAAGAATTATTCAAACAAAATTATACTTTGCCCACATTAGCTGGGGCATATAAGGTTTCCCTTCCATAACTTACTACCCTCCCAATATTTTGGGACTACAACTCCTGTATTTTACACCATGCTGGAAAGAGATTTAGGAATTGAAGTCCCAATGCATCAGACAGGTGATAAGATGTAGAAAGAAAAACTGTTATGAATGAGCCATGATCTCACAAAGATCGCAAACTAACAAAGACTAAAATGTAATATTCCTATGAAATATTTACCAAATCTTTGTCAAAACTTGAAGATAAAGTCATGCATGCTAATTTTACTTTTATTGTAGCAGAATCTTGAAAGCCTGAATGCACTTTCCTCCTCACTCCCTTTATCTTCATGAGAACTAGGTGTGTGTGGCCTTAGACACTTATTCTGATTACAGTTTTGGCCCAACTCAGATTTTTTTTATTCTGATCGTTGTTTTGATAGCAATTCTTCTTCCTGTTCCTCAAAGTTATTCTCTCTGCTAGTGACAACTTTGGATTCTCCAGGTGGGTTGGATAGCAACTCCCCAAATTCTTTAGGTCGTTTTGGGCAGGAGAATTTGGAATCATAATCTACTTGTTCAGGAGGACCCAAATGTAGAAAACGTTGCTCTATTATTATCCTATGACTTCCTCCATCCCCATATAGAAATGACAAGTAGCAAAATATCTATTATTTCAGTAAAGATATTTTATACAGAGATAGGACTTGCAACTCATAAGGATCCCTAAGGTACATTTTAAAATCATGTTTAAAAATCATTCTGTTTCATACAAGATGAATGGGTAATGTTGTTACATTAGATGCTACAGTGTAGCATCTAATATTAAGCTTTCATTTTTGTCAGTTAAAAATGAAGGGATAAGAGCATTCCAGACAACTGAAAGTCAGACCTGTCTTGTTTTTCCCTAGAGGCTTCATTCATTCAGAACTGTAAACCTTTTTGCATCTAAATTTCTGCAGCCTCATTATTTTCCTTTTACTAGAACAAGTCAGCATTCTGGAGATTGTCCCTGAGTGCATTCATTAACATTGCTCAAGTATGTTTATTGATTTTTAACTCCTTGATATTATCCATGCAGCACAATACTCCAGAAATTGTGGCACGAGGTAGTGGCCTCCAGAAATACTTTTCAGACTTTCGGTAAATAGGTCTTACCACATCCCAGAGGACGAACTCATCCCCCAACCTGATCTTCTGGAGGTTGAGACAATATGACAAGGACAATGATATGACTTTCACATACTGAATCACCGTGACTGAGAAGTTAAGGAAGACTCGTGTACCCCACAACCCAACATCACAGAGAGTTAGGGATTCACTCAGTGTCCCCTTATCTTTCACTTTACCCACTCTTTTGTCTTTTGAGACTGCTAATCTCAAGATCTTCCTTCTGCCCCTTTGTTCCAAAGCATCCATACATGAAATCTAGACACATAGAAATAAACAACATCTACATACTATGCAAAAGAGACAATCAACAAGACAAAATGGGAACAAAAAGACCAAAACATCTCCCCACCAGTAATCAACACCCAGATGAGCATAGCTTAACTCCAAGCTTAGACATCAGACCAACAATCAAAAAGTGAACAACACCACAATCAAGGAACTGCCAAACAAGCTAACAGTAAACAGGAGGAGAAAGGAGGGTGCTGGTAACTAAGCAATGGAATCAGTGGTGGGCCACTTCAGCAGAACCGGTAGCTAACTTTTTGTTGCCCAGGTCCAGAATGGACTTCTGGAAGCGGCATCCATACAGAGAACTGGTTGTTCACATATTTGAATCCCACCACTGAATGAAATGGGCAGTCACTAGCAAATAGCTCTGGGAAAAATATAAAGTTAGAGGCTTTAGAGAGATAGGAAGGAGGAAGAAACTTTGTACTGGGAAGTTTGAACACATTACTGTAAATACAGTAGTTCTATTACCCTCCCCCCCTTATTCCTGTAAATCTTCTACTTGTATATTGTAATGGAAACAAAAAAAAGTCTCTGTCTCTGTCAAGCAAATGTTCTGCTTAAAGTCATATGCACACCCCACTGTAAAAGTACCATCAGTCACACTTTGACAATTGCCTTAAATAAATCTACTTTCTCTTATAAACTGGCTTTGCTAACTTTAATGTTTGGCCTCAGAGGAATGCTCTCACACATACATAGGCCAATTTATTTTTTTCAACACAAAACAGCTACTACTGTTAGTACAGTATTCAGAATTGTATTCAGGCTGGTGCTGGCCAAGAACCTAGCAATTCCTCAAATTTGTGGCTAAGAAACACTTAAATATCTAGATTCATGAATCACGTTAAGTGAATAATGGGATGTGTTTGGCTCGGCCTTGGATATTGAATCAACGTATTTTATAAAACTTGGCTTATAGTTATAATAAAACTATCCAATTTTAGTTTAATGAACAAGACCTTGTAAAACAGTGGTTCTCAACCTGTGGGTCGGGACCCCATTTGGGGTCGATCGACCATTTCACGGGGGTCGCCAAGCAAGGCTGTCTGCCATTTTTTTTTGTCCGCCATTTTTTTTGTCTGCCATTTTTTTCCCCTTTTCCGGCGGGTGCCTTACCTCCCTTGGGCTGGGCCAGCTGGTGGTCGGCCTGCTCCGTCTCTGCCGCTTGCCAGCTATGCCTCAGCCGGCGCAGGGGGCGGAACCACGCATGCGCGGCGCTCCCGGGCAGGGAAAGTCCTCGACTTACGACCGGTTGAGTCCTCGACTTACGACCAGTTGAGTCCTCCACCTACGACCGGTTTAGTCCTCAACTTACGACCGGTTGGGGTCGCGGCATTAAAAAGGTTGAGAACCACTGTTGTAAAACAATCTGTGGCTTAGTGTGACCTATGAACTTAGCCCTTCCCTCCAGATATAGATGAATATTCTCTGAAACCAATTTTTCCTTTTAGAAAGGAGGATTTGTTTTGCTGCAGATAATTTTAGCCATCAAATAGATATATCTCAATGTAAAAACAGCAATAGGAGCTTAGTAAGGACATATTATTTATTAAGTAAAAAATATTCAGCAGTGTTCAGAATAATTATGTTTTGTAATTAATCTGAAAATCATTTTGGCCATTGCTGGTAATGCCTCTGTGGCCCACAGTGATCTTGAATGTAAAAAAGATCCTGTATACTTTTATTGTCCTTTAACTGTTATTGGATTATAAAACCCCTCATTTCTTATGTTTGGCCATAAGCATTAAGTTGGAGTTTAACAATATTTGGACAGTTACAATGCCCACTTCTACTTTTCATAACTTATTTTCTTCCACTCTGTGTTAGTACTTACATTTTCCTTCTTCATTCCTACAAAGCACTTTAATATCATCCACATTTTGAATAACCTCAACCAGTTCTCCTGGCTTGACTTGCAAATCTTTGGAACCTCTTTTCTTTGGGGATGATGCTTTAGATATGGTAGCAGTGTACAGAACTCGAATATCACCTTCATACTGTGGAAATAAAATGAATTATTTGGAAAAAAATTAAACATCAGTTGAAATTATACTTTTGGCTTTGTATAAGTTGAATAAAATGTAATCTTGTTGAAAGATTAGGCTACTACCTGATATTTATTTGACTTCCCCTCTCAAAGGATACAGTACAAGTTGATTTGATTAGATAGTGAGTGATCTTTGTTCATCTATTAGGGACTGGATAGGCTCTATATCAGAAGACTACCCCAGTTGGGCAGTGAGTCAGTGACCCATCTGTTGCTTCTCCATCCTATTCCTAAGACCACAGAGTACACTGTACCTGTCAGCTTCCCAGGGTAAAACAGATAGGAATCACAACTAGATGACCTACTGTAATTCTACTTTATTGTAAAGCTTCATTGATAGAATCTTGCAAGTCTGAAAGTAGAATCTCCCCCCCCCCAATCTGTCTCATTTACAGCCAAAGGGTCTCTTCTGAGCTTCTTGTCCCAACCACTATGAGGGTTATGGGCTATGCTGACTCTTATTTGATCATTCCCTTGGCAGTGTCTCTTTGCCCAATCTTTCCTATATACAATTACACTCCAGTGGTGGGATTCAAATATGTGAACAACCAGTTCTGTGTGGATGCCGCTTCCAGAAGTCCATTCTTGGCCTGGGCAACAAAAATTAGCTACCGGTTCTTCCAAACTGGTGCGAACCGGCTGAATCCCACCACTGTTACACTCCCTAAAAGGACATTACAGTGTTGGCACAATCAGAATTTTAGAACAATTCCCCTGTGAGAAAACAGTGCACATTTGGGGGTTTCTTAGACTAGGAAAAAAAGTGAAAAAAGGAGACCATAACTGAAGACCGTATCCCCAATATACATAGTGTCAGAAAAGGAATATGAGATTATGAATGAACTTCTAGGGATCATCCAGGAGATTTAGGATAGATATAAGATTTTTTTTCTTTACGCCGAGTAAATTAATCTGTGAAATGTACAATGTGACATGATGACATCCATCATGTCAGATGGCCTTAAAAGAGACCTAGACAGATACTGGGAGAATAAGTTATTTAAAACTAGTAGTCAGGATGGTAATATTTTACTTCCAATATGAGACACAGTTTAAGTCTTTAGACCAGTCACTAAAGAACATGAGTGGAAAGTTCCTAATGCCCTCCTACCCTGCTGGTGACCCTCTCAGAGGTTTTTTGTTTCACCAAAGTGGAAAAAGAAGCTAAGCTAGTTAGACGTTAGTCTGATTTATCAGAGGACTTCTTTAATTAATCAGTAGTGTAATCCAGTCCTATTTGTACTGGGTTTTACAAATTCAGAAGTCGTCTACATCACCTATCCACTCGCTCCTTTGTGTATTACGTCATTGTGGGATGTTTCAACGTAGGAAAAATTTAAAAAACTAAGTGTCTCTTAAAGTTTGGTTTGTTGTGTAGTACAAGAAGTCTCTAAACGTAAAGGAGACCTAGTTCTGAACTTGTGAGGAGACTCTGATGACTTACTGAAGGAGAACGATAGTCTCCTACAAAATGCTTTGCTAACAGTGTTTACACTGGGGAAATATACTACTTTCACATTTTTCCCAGGGGAATGAAAGAAGAGTAATTATTCTCCAAGGCAGCTTTTTGAAATGCTTTTTGGCAAACTTTTGTGAATTAAGATTTTAAAGAGTCTAACTAAACCTAAATATTACTATCAGAAAATGAACCCCACTCAATTCAATGAAATGGAAGCGTCTTATGGACATTTTGAGTAAAAAGTAACTTCTGATTTATGATTTATGATCCAAGCAGAGTAACTACTGTAAGGCATAGGTGACTGCAAAGGGCTTCCTCATTCAGAATTGTTGCAATTGCTGCAAAAATAAAATGTCACTATAGAAAAATCCTTCTGGCCACAACTGCAATCTGCTGATCCTGCCAGCTTGAAAACCACCTTTTTTCAGACACAAAAACAAAATTTCCCTGGAATTCAGCTCAGAAAAATAAAGAAAATACCTTCAGTCTAAGCCTGTTCTTCCCCTTCCAAGCCCTGACAATCTCCAAGCGCTTGGTCAACACTTTTACCCATTTCACTAGTTTGGTATGGGACTAAAGTGCATAGTTAGGAATCATCAGCATCTTGTTGAAACTGGATCCCTTGTCAGTATTTATGGCTCTTGTGAAGCTGGGAAATTATATAATGATCATATGTTGCATTGATATGTTTAAGATTGTTGATCTGTTTATTTAACGCATTGATGTTTACAATCAATCAAACAAATACTTACTTTGAATTTTTTTCGAAACTCTTTCTCTTCTTTGTCAATCTTCTTAAACTTCTGTGAATCACGTTCATCGAATCTGCCCCTCCCAAAGTTCAAAGATTTTATATTTTTTCCAAGGCTAAAATAATACATTAGGACAAAAGAAAAAATACCATCATTGGTATATTTATAGGCAGCTGTAAATTATTTGTTAGATTTACTAGTTTGTACAGCAGGTCAACCAGCCCCCACCCTGAACAAAAGAAAACAAACAAACAAAAAACCCTTTTAATTTGCTGTAAATCAGTGGTTATCAACCTTTTTAATGCCGTGACCCCCAACCGGTCATAAGTCGAGGACTAAACCGGTCATAAGTCGAGGACTTTCCCTGCCCGGGAGCGCCGCACATGCGTGGTTCCACCCCCTGCGCCGGCCGAGGCGTAGCTGGCAAGCGGCAGAGACGGAGCAGGCCGACCACCAGCTGGCCCAGCTCAAGGGAGGTAATGCACCCGCCGGAAAAGGGGAAAAAAATGGCAGACAGCCTTGCTTGGCGACCCCCGTGAAATGGTCGATCGACCCCAAATGGGGTCGTGACCCATAGGTTGAGAACCGCTGCGTGTAAATTATTTGTTAAATTTACTAGTTTATACAGCAAGTCAACCAGCCCCCACCCTGTACATAAGAAAACAAACAAACAAACAAAAAACTTTTTAAGTTATTTTAACTTGCCTAATTTCTTTTGGTGGGAGAGGGAAATCAGAGGATTCAACATCATCGTAAACATCACTGTCTCCGGAATCTAAGATAGATTTGAAGAAAAAATAATAATTATCATTGGTTATGTTTATACATATAGTTCGGTGATAAATTTGGACAAAAATAATAAATTAGGATTTCACTTTTAGACAAAAGCCATACTTTAAACCAAGACATTATTTTTACGTTATCTTAAAATTTTGCTTCACACTGAAGTTTGCAGTTTAAAAATAGGCCAGTTTTTGTTTCCTGGATTGTGTTTAGCCATTCAAATAAAGCTTAGACAAGGCAAAAGTTACCATGACATTTGTCATTTAAACGTGGCCAAGTACCTTGAGTAATATGTTGTAACAGCGAATTTGGTGTTATGATATGCCATGACAAATATAAACCAGGCTATTATGTGATCTTTCCTATATTAACAGTGTTGAGGAGTTGAACAATCTAGAAACCTTCTGACCAAGTTAATTAAGACTTAGCTAATGCATTTCAGGGCACTGCTGGCTTATTTGTATATATATTTCTGGATTGAGTTGTGCCTTGTGTTGTGCGTTAGTAGATGCTATTAATCTCATTGAGCTGGAATCTGAAATCAGGAATTGCTTAGAAGCAGCAACCCATTTCAAAATAATTCACTGAATATCATGTAGGCCCAAAGCTGCTTGTCACTATTTGTTGCCTAAGGAGTATTATGCTTGTTGCTGCAGATAGCCCAAAATGTCCCTTCCAACAGTCTCTGGCCTCAAACTACATATAACATTAAAAATGTTACAGATAGTTTCTGTTTCACAGCTGGCTCATTTAGTGACCTTCCCAGTTACAGCGATGATAAAAAAAAAGTCACTTTGTGACCAATCCTTGCATTTACAAACTTCATAGGTCTGTAAAGCAAAGGAAAGCTGAAGTAAAAACTCAAGTACAGTCACAGTTTCACTTAGCAGACACTTCCCTTAATGACCAAGTTGCTGGTCCCATTTGTGGTTACTAAATGAGCACTACTTGTAGTACAGACAGCCCCGGGGTTAAGAATGAATTCCATTCCCTAACTCTGTCTTTAATCCAAAGTTGCCTTGAAGTCATAACTTGCACTTACAAATTACCTTTTATTAAAAATGGCGGATGGCATTCTCCCTCCTCAAGCTGACAAAGTGCTGAAGCTGCACAATTTAGGAACCTCTACAAACAGGCTGTATACTAAAAACACACAACTTTAGCAGTTCCTGAAAGCATTTCCCGGCTTAACATTTCATTTGTATCAAGGACTTGTCCTTAAATTGGACGTTCTAACTCAGGAATTGTCTGAATTTAAACTGGTGTTGAATTAGAAAGTAAGCCATTCAGGGTCAGCATGGAGGAACAATGCATCTTTTCAACAATTCCAAACTTATTGTTTTGGAAGATAAAACTTACAACAGGATTATATTAGCAAGATGATGCACCTAAAAGACTCAGCTCAGGGATTTAAGCTGGGTGCAGTGTGACCCATTCCTCTCTGATCCTCTTCCAAAAAAACCCCCAGGATCAACTGAATGAGACTAGAATGAATGGCAGAGAAGTCAATGGAGTAGGCCTCTCTCTTCTTGCTAGCATTAAGATAATCTTTATGGTGCTGATGAAGACTTTTCAATAACCAGAGGTTATTGTTGTCATCGTTTTTGTTTTTATTATTGTATAGCAGGCAAGCCTGTCAGGACTGAGACCATTATAGATGCAAGGTGGGTGGAGTTTAAATGTATTCTGCTGCTTCTGCTAGAAGCAAAACAACTCTTCTCTGTCAGTTGTTTAATGGAAAGCTTCTGAGATGATGGAAGGAAATACAATATGCTAACCAATAGCTGGATAACAGGTGGAAGAAGAAAAAAGACCATAGGTTTTGCATACAAGAAAGTATCAATGACATTAATACAAATTAAGCCAGTGTTTCTCAAACATAGCTGGCTGATGAATTCTGGGAGATAAAGTTCACACATCTTAAAGTTGCCAAGTTTGAGAAATACTACATTGAAAATATTGTATTCAGGCGGCAAAAGACCACAACCATGAGATGGCAGCAAAAGGCTATAATTTTTTTAGATCTCTTTGCTGCCAACTCCAGCTTGTCCAGATTTCTGTATTTCAGATATAGTAGTCCTAATTCAACTCAATCACAGTCAAACAATTTCATCCAATGACTTACCCTTCCCTGTTTGTTTTGCTAAAGGCGTTCTTCTAGAAATAAATTTGGAAACAACCTTAATTAATAATGTGAAATGGAAGGATTGATATTATCCCAGCTTTAAATCATATGTGGCTAAACACAAAGGTCTTCTGATTACAAAGCAAGTATCTTGAATTTTGTCATTGAACCTGCAGACTAAGGTTGGTAGCTTCAAGAGAGCCATAAAATATCTATTCTTGCTTTAAATAATTAAATAACACAATCTATAAATATTCTAATAGCAAGAACCTCTACCTATTTCACACATGAACTGTTCTTGGCTTTGTTTCTTGGCTATAATTGGGCTTCTATTTCTAAAGCTATTATACCACTGTGAAATAAATACCTTGGCCTGAAATAACTTGAAGAGCTTTATATAAATGCAACATATTATTGTTGCTGTTGCTATTAAAGCAATATAATTAAAGTAGGAGCATGCTGATGAGTGCTTCCTACTTAGCAGTAAAGATCCTATGAAATCCACACTGTTCCACTAGGAGTCACACTCCACCAGCATGTTTTCCTTGGCAAACCTAGCTAATGTGAATTGGAGCTATGAAAGGCAATACTTTTGATTCCAGTAGGTCAGGTCTGCCTGCTCCTCATTCTGCTACACAGATTGGTACATTGAATCTGCTCTCGGTAGAAGCCATCTCTCCTTGCTTCATAGTAAAACCGCATCTCCTAACATTCAATCATAACAACTAAAAGAAATCAAGTCACAGACAGAATAGGGCCCAGCTTTTTATAGTCAAGTGGTATTTCCATAGCTTGAGTTATCTCATGCGTATTTGATTTGTGGCTGATTAGGCTGCTGTGAGAAGTGGTTAGTAGAGCGCAAATCAATGAATCCGTGGTATTAGCTTTAGTGAGCTGTGCATGTGTGTTACTTTTCACAGCAGTCTCTTACAAGGAATTTTCATCTTCTGTCACATTGACTTTGGGTGCTGTCTCTCGCATACTTTTCTTTTGGTAATCTTTTCCCTTTAAAATCTTCAAAAGCCCCTTGGACCAGGTGTCACTCTTCTCTTCATCCTGTGACACAGATCTTTGAAGTATGCACACAATTATTACATAGCAGATAAAATAAAAAAACGTTAGCAAGTACTTTGGCCTAATTGTTTAAATGAATAATTGAAATATGTATTCAGGGAGCTACTTGCAGATAATTTAGAGCTGTGTTTTTCAACCTTCACAATTTCAAGATATGTGGAAATGTGTTGAAATCTATACAATCTTAAAGTTGATGAGTTTTAAAAACATTTATTTGAAGTTAATACTTTAGACAGTTCTGCCCAGAGGTAAATCAATAGGTTGCAAATATATTTCCTACCATAATCTTATGAAGGGTGCATATTGTACATGCACACAAATGCATCTGAATACATGTGTTTAATAATATGGCTAGCATACCTTAATTAAGTTTGCTATGGGTAGCATTAGCATTAACAGTATTATACACCATAATTTTCTGTATGAAATATAGATGCCTGGAACATTTAAAATGTACATCTCAATATAATGTGTGTATCAACTAAGATATATTTGGAAACACAAGTAATGTTCTTGAGTGTCCATATGAAAGTACATTGGGATTAGTTGCTCTATAATGCATGAAATGGGCTAAGATGACAACAACAACAATAACAGTAATAATAACAAAGGAGAGAATCACATATGACTTGTGACTTTAGCCCAGTCCTAAACCTGTATACATAGGAGGAAATGTCAATTAATTCCATGGGACCTGGTGAAGGAAATATTCATAGTATTGAGTTCAGAAACCAATTTATTGTTAAACATGTATATAATTTCATTTTCAACACCTTGCAAAATTCACCCAGTGTGTAACTTGCTAATTTCCTAACACATTTTTTTCTTGAGCTAACACTTTGTGGGTAATTCATACTTACTTTGCTGGAACCTCATCATCTTCCACACCATCATAAATGTCATCTGGTGGAGGTGGCGGAAACCCTGTTTTAATGGGACGGGGAAGAAATAGGGAGAAATGGAGTTTATTAATCAATTCACCTTTTAGTTTGACATTTTTCAGCAAGAGAAGTTTATAAGTATAAGGAATAACAGCAGAACAGTTAAAATATAAATACATATACCCTACTACATCTAAGGTTATTTACCATGCATCCAATACAGTTCTACTCAGAAGTAAATCTTACTGAGTTCAAACTTAAAATGAACAGATATTCTAGTTCACAGAAGAAATCTTCAGTTTCAGCTTTGCCTAACATGGGGCTTTCCACACATGTTGGACTACAGATCACATCATTCCCACTCAGAAAAGAATGTTCTTCTTTAAGGGAATGAAATCTAAGCTGACATCTTGTTGCCCATTAAGAATTAGCACATCCTTGGTTCTCCCCTGTGCAATGGAATGTCTTGGATGGATTTGATACTGGATTAAGTCATATTGAATAACTATCTAGGAAGAACCTGATCAAATGAATAATATAGCTCGTAGATTCAGTACTTACCATCTCTCTCCATTTGCAGCTACTGTATTGTTAAAAAAGTTAAAATGTATATACTACTACTACTACTACTACTACTACTACTACTACTACTACTACTAATAATAATAATAATAATTAATAAAGTTGGAAGGGACTTTGAATGTCATCTAGTCCAACCCCCTGCTCAGGCAGGAAACCTTATACCATTTCAGACAAATGGCTGTCCAGTTTTAAAAACTTCCAGTGTTGGAGCATTCACAGCTTCTGGAGGCAGATTGTTCCACTGATTAATTGTTTTAACTGTCAGGAAATTTCTCCTTAGTTCTAGGTTGCTTCTCTCTTTGGTTAGTTTCCATCCATTGCTTCTTGTCCTGCCTTCAGGGGCTTTGGAGAGTAGCTTGACTCCCTCTTCTTTTTGGCAACCCCTGAGATATTGGAACACTGCTATCATGTCCCCGCTCATCCTTCTCTTCATTAAGTTTTCATGCTCATTGTTTAAAGAATAAAGGTGAACATTTAACACAGGGCAAACTTTTCTGACTTTGCTTGGTGTTCAGTGAGAGGAAGTCAGAGAAAGAAGTTTTGATTTGCTAAACATTTTAGTAAAGAGAGCATTAATGTATAAATTGACTATTTTTTCTTGCTTAAACAAGTTACTTTCTAATTGTTATAAACCTCAGTCTCATTTTACTCTGAAATATAACTGCTGAAATGTTATTATGAGATCATCTTATTTTGAGTTTACTTTCTTAAGATGGAGCCACTCCCATTCTAAACTACTGCAGTTAACTGGTAATCCATTGTTTATAGCTGAGAATCTTGTGTGAATTCAGACATTTGGGGTTAATTCCATCAGTCATTATTAAGCAAATCATTGATTTGCCTAACATTTAAACACATGTAGAAACCACAGCTTAGTCATGCTGACAATGGCTGAAGGGTTTCCAATCTTTTGGGGACAATAATAGTTGTTTGCTCAGTCACAATCTCCTCACATACCTAAAGATAAACAAAGCCTTGCACAATAACTATCCACCATTTTATTTTCCAAGAATGCCTCTAGGATCTATGTGGGGCTCAGAGGCATTGTTGGAAATACAGATTATGCTTCCCATGGATCAGTTCTAGTTTCCATTGTTAAAAAGAACATCACAAAAGAACAATGCAATGCTGGGGATAATTATTATTTCAAGACATTAATAAAAGGAGAACTTACCTCCCATGGCACTCTGACTTCCACTTTGCACATAAAAATGAAGCAAAACAAAATATTGAATGCAAAAGAAACCAGATATATTTTCACATGCATGTACAGTCATGTTAATGATCAATCACTCTCAGCAATTCTTTTCATACTGTCGCTAATCTCTATAACTGTTTCTTGAGAAAAATGACAATATTTTCTGGACTAATAGTGATCTTAGGAATTTCAGGAACCTGCCATGGATTGATACAAGGGTGCTGTGTTCTATACAGAAAAGTTTTACTTGTACAAGATGCGTACAGATGCTTAACTGATCCATGTTTTTTTCCTACAGTTTATTGGCACAAAGCTGGTCACATTCTAGCCAGTGTGCTGTGCAAACCTAGCCAATGGCTGTTTTATTGACTGGGTCAGATATAACATAATGTTTTCTTAAAGTAAGCTAAGGCTGTGCAACAATCTGGATTCAAAGGATAAAACATGCTTTACAGCAGTGTTACAGCATGTCAGCTTCTCATTTATTACCCTTTTGGAATTAAAACATGTATTGTTTTGAAAAGTAATATTTAGTGGCACCTGTACAGTTGTTGTTATTGTCCTCCAGGGAAAAAAACAGGTTGGGGAGTGTCTAAAGATGTGGAAAGATGAATCAGCATAAAAGGCTGGACTACACATTACTCTAGAATTGATGATTGTATTTAGGGGTTGGACATGGTTCATCACTTTATTCACAAATCTGTGACATACCTGCTGATACTGTCCTGGTCTCCAACGTCATCATACACTTCTTGATCACTGTCTGGGTGCTTTGACAGAACGTACTTGGGAGGCCGTGGCTTCCTTTTTAATGTATCATAGTCAATTGCCACCATGGTAGTTTTAATGTAGCCATCTACAACAAATATAATTTGGTGATATGGTTGTTTCGGTATAAATAAATAAATATATATATATATATAGGAAATGAAAAATCATCATGCAAAATGTATTGTTGTATAGAACAAAGAGGTAGTGCAGTATCCCTTTAATTCAACAGATGCAGAATATATTACCTGAATTAGAAAAATAATTGCCCTGTTTTGCAGATTGTTCTCAGTGAGTTTATAAATCTAATTTTGAACAGTACCAGGATACTGTAGTTTATGTTTTCTCGATACAAAATTAAAATAAGACATAGTACATGGAAATCAAGTTTGTCACAGGAAAAATTGAATTAGAATTTTTCTCCTTCCTATATTAATTTTCTATAAACACTGCACACAATATTTTTTCATTATGTAACCTTTCATATGTATTCTGAAGCCAGACAGTCCAGGTACAATTTTATGAATACCAAGTGTTAGCATAATAGCTCCTCTTAAGTCCAGCATGTGAGATATGAAGGTAGCCCACAAACTATGCATTACACTGGCTTGGAAAAAAAAAGCTGATAAAAATAAAATTAATTCTGTAGCATGTCCACCTACACCTATTGTACAAGGAGTGTAAGACAAAGGGATCTCTCCTTTGACAGTTAGATCAATATCACAAAACTTTATTATTAAAAAAAAGCAAAAATTGGTGCTCACGTGGTGGAGGAAGTAAAAAAAAATACAATGCTAACAACATTGCTAAGAGCGCTATAACAGAATTTCCCATTTAAAAAGTTTGAAGAAGATCTCAGACTATGATGGTTCTGTGATCTAAGATTCCAAGAAGCATCCAACACATAATAACTACGATTGTATAAATATAATAAATATCAAAGTAGACATAAACATGCACATAAATAAAGAATACAGTTCTTGGTTAACATCTTCCTATTTCTATAAAGTATAAAGAACTTTTGAAACAGTGCCTTTACCAATATGTGATTTGTGCAAATTCTAGCTTAAATCTGAGGGGGAAGGGTAGATGTTTCACCCTGCTTGTTTTTAGAAGGGCAAACCATTTCCTACTTGAAGAGAAAGGGAAGGATTTAGGGGTAACCTTCCTGTCTATGTGAGCCAGTGTATGCATTTGTTCCTTCTGAATGGTTATAGTCCATGTCTAAGATGGGTGAATAAAGCTATCAATATCATTCACCATCAACAAAAGTCAAATGTTTATAATTATATCACCATTAGAATTTCTCACAATTCTGAAAAGTGGGGTGAGGAAGAACAGCAATGACATGGCAGAAGAGAACAGCAAAGATTTGGCAGGAGAGGCATGTTTTGGGTCCTCTCAATTAAGGAAGGTGAACTGTTTCTGCCATGGCACTCGTTCTTTGAGTTGAGGTTGGCCCCAACCCTTATGGCCTTCAGAAGGGCCTCAAAATGTTGTGGATTTATTTTCATAAGGGAGCAAGAGGCCTATGCCTTGGCTACACAATGTACAACATTCTGATTTTGATAAGATTTGTTCTTATTTATGTTTAAGTATTTAAGTGTTTAACTGGTTTTGCAATAAGTTTTAATTGTTGGCTTTATTGTACACCGCCCAGATTACCATGTGTGAGACAGATGGCCATATAAATTTAACAAATAAATAAATGTAATACATAAAGAAGCAAATGCAAAGACACAAGAACTATATCCTAGTGAAGATTCAGGTTCTTTAATCAGTATGTTAGCATAAATTCTCTTAATTTCCACACATTATAGTATACCTACAGGAGCCTTTTAATCTTCCTAACCATTTCCCTTCTGGATTGTCTGTGATGCGGAGTATTTCAATTAGATCTCCTTGTTTGAATGACAGATCATACTTTCCTCCTTTAAAGTCTGTAGAAGCTCGTGCCTGGTGAACAACTTCAATGGGACCTTCTAGCTACATAAAAGATGAAGATACATGGTTAGTTTTAGTACTTAGAGAGAGTGAGAGAAGGAGAAAACCCAAAACGTAGCTTGAAAGATAATATTCAAGATAATACTAAAACACGTGTTTTATGAGAATGAGACCCTTCCACCCCATAAGCTTTATGCAGTCTCCGTTGCCTGTAGTAAAACTGAAAGAAGAAGCTTAAATGTTCTTCTGCTTCGATAACCTCACTTGGCTGTGTCCGCTGAATCAAGGGATTTTTTGCCAGCTGAGGAAAAAACTCAAGTGAGAACAAAATCTGGGTGGTGTTCTTTCCTCCTTCCTTGGAATGGGGTGGAGGATCACTCAGTTCACTTTTGAAAATGCATGAGATGACAAGGATATTTGCAGGGGAGGGGGAGTGGGTTTCAGCAAAAAATATCTGACATGCTTACAGAAGTTTAAGGTTCTTATCAGAGGTTGATCCGCAGCACTTCCTAGAATGACTGTGACAATGCAGTGTCAAGTATTCACATGGCTATGCTGTTTTTTTTCAATAGAATAATAAAGACAAAAAGGTCCAGCATTTGATTCAGTGGACTATGACTATTATCTACCATTTTTATTGAATGAGCTGGTTTTGTTATTTATCAAAGGTGTAAATAATAAAGAAAATTTGCTACCGGTAGTTAAGTTTAACTTATTTAAACTACTTAAATTAAATTAATTAAGTTTAATTAGTTAATAAACTAATTAATATCTGGGAGTAACTTGATGGGATCAAAAATCAAAAGAACAAATGAAATGGCAATTTCTGCTAGATAACTTGTGATATCAGTTACAAAATATTAGTTTTGGAGTTGGGGAATAACCGTATCCAAAAGACCTCTTAAAATACATTGATATAATGTCTTTTGATATAAAGACTTTTTTGTGGAAAAGGAGCAAATGTCAACAGAGTTTATAGACAGCATCTTGGAAAGCTGGAGGTTGTGGTGAAGATCAACTTCATCAAATGACATTATGATAATTAGAGTTTTTGTGACTGAATCCATCTACCATGGCAACTTCACCAGAAGATAGCCATTTTATGAAAACACACAATAAGATCTCAAAATTCCAGATATTCTCTGTTGGCTGCTTGCATCTTTTGCTTATTAATAGTTTATAATGAATTGCTCTATCAATGGCTTAGTGATTAGAATGCAGTATTGCAGGCTAACTCTGCTCACAGACTGGAGTTTGATCCTGACCAGCTCAAAGTTGACTCAACCTTCCATTCTTCCAAAATTGGTAAAATGAGGACCCAGATTGTTGGAGACAATATGCTGACAATGTAAACTGATCAAAATGCTGTAAAATACTATGGAGCGGTATATAAATCTAAATGCTATTGCTATAAATTTGGTTAACTCAATTGATTAAGCAGGCATTAAAATATTAATTTTTGCTGTTAAGTAAAAATGCCAAGGGGTTATTTTAGCAACTTTAAAACCCCAGAATATAGTATTAATGGCTGGAAGCATCCTTGGAGGTCTTCTAATCCAACCCCCTGCTCAAGGCAGGAGACATTGTACCATCCGAGTCAAATGGTTGTCCAATCTATTTTTGAAAACCTCCAGTGATAGAGCATCCACAACTCTTGGAAGCAAGCTATTCCACTGGTTGATAAATGTATATATTTATTCCTGTTCTTTGCATGACCTTCTTGAAAGACGTTTTACCTTGAATTTCTTTCTGAGTTCTTGCTCTTTTTTATCCTTATCCTTTTGTTCCTTCTTTTGATCAGATTTTTTCTTTTCCTCCTTCTCTTTCTTTTTATCATCTTCTTGTGGTGTAAATCTGCACAAAAAGAAGGAGACTTAATACACTATTCAGCTGTAAAGATAAATTGCCCCCAAAGGGTATTTTTTTTAATGTTGTGGCTCTATTTGAGGTGCAGCTCACAGTTTTGAAGAAAGTGGGAGACTTAGCAAGATCTCTGGAATCAGATGATCTCTCTTTCCTCAAATCAACATACCTGAGGGGCATTTTAGAAAACAAAAAAAATCCATCAGTGGAAAGAGTTTTCCAAAATGTCCATTAAAATGGGAAGTGTGTGTTTGAGGTGAGGGGAGATGTTGACTACCAACTTACTGGAGTTAATACATCTTGTTACTGCTTACATCTGCTATTTTGATATTCTAAATAGGGGATTTTATACTAACGTTTCCTGTAAAACAACCTCATTTTTACTGGAAAGATCAATAAACTGAGTAACAATCTGTTTTCTTAATCATCCTGATTGTCAGTCAAAACCAGTATTTTGTAATCAGCCAAGTCCCAAGGCCTAACTGCTTTTGGGTTGTCCCAAAATATATTCTGATTATGCTATCAAATTTCAAAGAAAAAAGTGCCAATTTCTCTAGTTGGCTTTAAATCTGTTGCTAAACCCTCAGAAAGGAAGGCTTAACAAAAAGAGAGGAAGGAAGAATTTTGCAATATTCTGTTTAATGTAACTTTACATTAAAAATAGTGTCGATGCTCCTGGTTGTGGTTCTTTTCTGGGCTATCTCCAAGGGTTAACATCTATCTTGCAAGACTTAGTATTTTCCTGTCCTTTTAGTTTCCAGAAAACTAGAGAGGGTTCCTTTTGAAACACTTCTCAGGTTTTTCCCCCATTTGCAGAGCAAATGACCTCTTATCAGATCATTGCCCAGGCTGCAAGTCTTCCTTCTATCTCCCAAGGTCATTCCCACATACTATGACACTCCTCCACATGTAAATGGAAGATCCTACCTGACCTAACCCTCCTACAAAACCAAAGTTCAGATTCTGACCAGGAAAAATTAGTCTGCTTGGATAGGGCAGACAATCTTCACCTGATGCAATGGATCAATTTTCAGATCTTCTGATTTTTTTTTAAAAAAGGTAAACAATAGTGGCGCAACCTGAAAATGGACAATGAATGGTCAAATAGAGCTTTTATATTTTTGCCAATTCACAATGTAATTTTTTCCAGCCTTTTGTAATTCAAGAAATATTATCATAGCTAAAAGCAAATGAACTTACTCATGGTCAGAGCACAAACCTCTAAAATGTGCAGGAAAAGAAAAGTCATGGATGATCAGGCTATATTGGACATTGGTCACCAGAATTCATGCCTAAAATGCTTTATATTTTATTTTGGATCTTTTTGCATACAACGTTTAATTTTAGTCATTATTTAATAACAGCTGCAATTATTGTAATATGATCAGAGGCCCACTTTATATGTTTTTTCATACCTCATCTCATTTATATCTTCATACATTTCTCCATCACTGTTCTGATTTTATGAAAAGGAAAAATAGTTTTAATTATTGGTGAAAAATAAGAATAGTGAAAACCACACACACACACACACACACATTAGCAAAATTAAAAGAAAAACAAACACCAGGATAGGAATATGAACAAGACTGTTTAATATAAACAACTCTGTTGGTAAAAATCACTTAGCTTTCGTCGGCCAAACTGCCGACGTCATCAGAGTAGGGATAAAAGGAGATCTGGGAGTTCACCTATATAGCTGCTTGGGAGGAAATGGGAAACCAATGGCGTGCCCCAACTGTAAGTTAGGAACTGGCACACAAGTACAGCCCAGAACGAAGGGGGAGGGAGGTAAAGAGCAAAAACGTTCAGACAGCCACCCCTTGCAGGATCGGGGCGGCAACCTCCAGGGAAGACGGCAACTTGACAGCGCGCCTGAGCTGCAATCTAGGGACTAATGCCCAAGATCGATCCAAAGCGGGGGGAGGGAGGTGAGGGGCAGAAGCGATCGGACTGCCACCCCCCGGGCATTCGCATGCATGCCAGGGGAGCAATTGAAAGCAAGAGAGCAACTTCCGAATCCACAGACAGCTTGACAGACTCAATGCATTACGGCTGATTGAGATGAATGGACCGATGATGCGCTCAAGAAGCAGAGCGCAGAAGGAAGATTCAGGCAGTTCAAATGAGTATAAACATTTATAGTAAGCTTAAGCTCTCTACAAAAATCTGGGCTACAACAGTTAAAGGAAATTCGTGGAATTAAGAATAGAAAGAATTAAAGGTGGGATGGATTTAGATCTCTTGTGGGCTCACAGAGATTCATGACTGATGATGCATCAGTCCCTCCTTTCAGCTCAGCCTGGTCATCTCCTCTACATAAATCTGTTGTCTGTCACATTGGCTAGCAGCATCTCAGTAAGTCTATGAAAACTAGTAAATTGAGTTCATAGAGTGCATCCTTGATCATCTGCATGGTCTAATCCACCATTTTGTTTCTAAGAATGATCATTCTTAGAGTGGCTTCCTATAAAAAACATTTGTGAGTTTTCAAAGAATAAAAGGCAAGGTATGAATACAATAAATAATCATTGCTTTATGGGAGCTAGTAGGGAGAATGACTACAAAGAAAGCCTAAGGTTATATACATTTGTAGATTATGAAGGGTAATACTTACTTCATCTGCATTTCCATTATCTAATGGATAAAAAGGCAAAACAATTGCATTATTTTGCAGTTTAGCAATCAAAATACCAAGTCATGGGTAGCCCTTGTTAGCTAGTGGTGTATAGGGAGCTTGGGGGGCAGCAGGGTGGGAAGGAAGGGAGTGGGGGGGAGGCGCATATAAAAGCAATGATGTAATGCAAATTATGTGTCTATTTTGCCCTGCTCTGAGATGTTCCATGCATGGCCCAGAGGGATGGACTTGTGACACAATTCTATGACACTATTTTTATTATATTCCTTGTATTCTTTATATATGCTACAACAGTTCTATGCAGGCAGCAACCTTCATCATTCTAAATCAAATATTAGCTCATATAACATGAATGCTGCAATGGAGCATGACTTGTATGAATTGCATATTTTAATCCTTGTACTTAATCTGTAAATCCCTATCTTTAATTACACTATAGTTTATCTTATCAAGACTCTGCATGCTTCAGAAATCCTTTGAAAAATGTGTTTTGGACCCCACTGTAATGCAAAAGCCTAGATTTAGGCAATCTACAGTACATGCCTACTCAGTCTGCTTTCTGATGATGTTTATTGGGCGGAGGGCAGATCCGGCTTTCAATCTATATGAAAAGAGGCTTAGCCACAAGAGACCTTGAAGTAGAGGATGGACATTGTAGATCCTCCTCCATTATCTCTAAATGGATAGGTCATGTGCAAGGAAACCAATAAAATAGCACACGTGTCAGGACATTCTAGAATGGGGAAGCCAGTGTATTAAGATAGCACGTTTTTTATATTTGATACTCAAACATTGAAGTTGGCTTATAGAGTTTGATTGTCAATATATTTGAATCCAGATTCCTGACTTATTACTGATTTGTTATAGCATTCCACACATGCTTCTTATTTGTCCTCTGTCCATGATAATAGGTTTTCTTACCTTCTGAACCAAATGCAACATCATCATAATTTTCTTCATTTTCTTGTCCTCTACAAAATAGCAAAAGTGAATTTATTAAGAAAAAAAAAGAAAATTCATTGAAATATATTTTCTTTTTTAAGTGAAAGTCCATTCTGTTTTATAGTTTAATGGAAAAGGTTTAGTTAAGATTTCTGCAGTCTGTTTTTATGTTTTTAATAATAGAATATGGCTCTTTTTCTAGGAAGGGTTCTCCTGTTTTTAACACTTCCACTTGTAGAAATTGAACAAGGAATATTCTCCACATTATTTCCATGCTTGACCAAAATATGCTTAGTACAATTCTGCCTGCCATAGTAGCCACACTAAAACAAGACCCATCCAGTCCTCAGCCCTACATTTTATACATAAAAGGAACAATATGAAACCAGGAGACCATGATTTCTAGTTGTGCCTTAACATAAAAGCTAGCTGGGTGACTTTGGACCAGTAGCATTCTGTCAGCCAACCCACCTCACAGGGTTGTTGTCATCAGAAAATAGGAAGAAAGAGTGTTAGATTGTTTGTCACTTTGAAATATTTACAAAAATAATAAAGATGGCAAATAGATATATATATATATATATATATTATCTGTCTGTCTGTCTGTCTGTCTGTCTGTCTGTCTGTCTGTCTGTCTGTCTGTCTGTCTGTCTGTCTGTCTGTCTGTCTGTCTGTCTGTCTATCTATCTATCTATCTATCTATCATGGTGGTTTTGCATAACCTCTCCCCAAAATAGCTTTTTATTCTCACACTAGCTGTACCCGGCTACGCGTTGCTGTGGCTCAGTCTGGTTAGCATGTGTTGCTTTTACGTCCAACAGATGGCGCTGTTTTTCAAAAAAGCATGTTTTAATCTGTCACAGGTGTGACATCTATATAATAGTAGGTATATAAAAACATAAAAACACGTGCATATTTGAATGCAACATTGTGTCAAAATTTCAAAGCAATCGGTGAAGAACTTTCAGAGATTTAAGATTTTGAACAAACGAACATTTACATTTTTATTTATATAGGTGACAATAGTTCATATATAATGTAATTTGGCATGTTGTGGCTTTATAAACCATTACTTATGGCTCAGCATGTTGGGTGAACCTAGTGAAGTATAGCTTGATTAAGAAATCTTTATGAAACAACCATAACTTTTTGCTGTACATAGCTTATTGCAGCTATTTATTGCAGCTCCCTGTGATGAATACCAAAACTTATGGGCTTCTCTATGAGCACATAGAGAAGATGTTTCAAGGAAGAGAAGAACAGATATTCTTCTAGCTTATTAAGAAGAAAGAAAATATGGAAGAAGGATTATAATTCACTATTATGTACCTGAAATCAGATCTGGATGGGATATTCCCCCTTGGGGGGAGAACAGGAGTTTGTGCTGATGGACGGAAACCTGGAGGAGGAGGAGGAAGCAGGGGTGGAGATAAATCCGTAGACTGTGTGGGATGAATAGGTGGCGGAAGTGGGGGAGGCAAAGCCGCTGAATTGGATGAACTGGAACCTGGAACAGAAACAAGAGACAATTAATGTATATGAAATAATCATCCCCATTCCTTTCCATATTGCTACTACTCTAGCTCTGCAGTCTGTGTGGCACATATTTCTTTTTATCAAATCAAATGTTGATTAATCCATTATGCGTTTGCATAACTTCTGCTTTGGATAAACTGGCCATATTTTAATAATTACAGTTTACCATGTGTATGTTCATGCATGCTTTCATTCTTTCCTGTACTCCAGAAAACAAAAAATTCTGAAAACATTATATATATATAATGAAAAACTGTTCCAGGGATCAGACAGCTCAGTCAAATACTTCACAGTGGCTTTTGTTCAACAAATGTATAATCACTCTGTATCACACTAGTGCGAAGTGACAGGAGCATATTCATATTATAGTTATAGGAACTTTTTTAAAAAATATTGCAAATTAACAATGAAACAGAAAAAAATGGACATTTCTGAAACTCAGTAAATATTACAGAAATCCAGATGATTCTTCCATTCCTAATATTCAGGAAAAAAATAATAATCAATAAGATGAGGGAGATGATGCCTTCTGATTCCCACTGACTGGGGTATTACACAGTGTACTATATCAGGGGTTAGCAGTATATATCATGATTACTATGTTGACCAACAATTATAGCAAAAATAGCAAGATTTAGAGTGACAATGCTGAAATCATATATTTGGTAACCTCATGAGATTTCTAGCTGGGTTACCAGATATCTGAATGGGCAAAGGAAGGCACAGACAGATGGAAAAAAGGACAAATAGGGGGAAAGAAGGCACCCTAACTATTATAGTTTCTTGGAATTTGACACAAAAATTAAAATATGTAAAAAAGATGTTGAGACTCTAGAAAGAGTACAGAGAACAGCAGCAAAGATGATTAGGGGACTGGAGGCTAAAACATATAAAGAACAGATGCTGGAATTGGGTATGTCTAGCTTAACAAAAAGAAGGACTAGGGGTGACATGATAGCAGTCTCCCAATATCTAAAGGGTTGCCACAAAGAACAGGGAGTCAACCTATTCTCCAAAACGCCTGAAGGCAGGACAAAAAGCAATGGATGGAAACTAATCAAGGAGACAAGCAACCTAGAACTAAGGAGAAATTTCCTGAAAGTTAGAACAATTAATCAGTGGAATAACTTGCCTCCAGAAGTTGTGGGTGTTCTAAGTTTTTAAGAAGAGATTGGACTACCATTTGTCTGAAATGGTATAGGGTTTCCTGCCTAAGCAGAGGGTTGGACTAGAAGACTCCAAGGTCCTTTCCAATTCTGTTATTCTCTTATTATAGTGAAAAATTGCAAAATATGTAGTTAGGTATATTTAATAATAATAATAATAATAATAATAATAATAACAATAACAATAATAATAATAATAATAATAATAATAATAATAATAATAATAATAATAATAATAATAATAATAATAATAATAGTAAAGTTGGAAGGGACCTTGAAGGTCATCTAGTCCAACCCCCTGCTCAGGCAGGAAACCCTATACCACTTCGGACAAATGGCTGTCCAGTTTCTTCTTAAAAACCTCCAGAGTTGGAGCATTCACCGCTTCTGGAGGCAGGTTGTTCCACTGGTTAATTGTTCTCATTGTCAGGAAGTTTTTCCTTAGTTCTAGGTTGCTTCTCTCTTTGGTTAGTTTCCACCCGTTGCTTCTTGTCCTGCCTTCAGGTGCTTTGGAGAATAGCTTGACTCCCTCTTCTTTGGGGCAGACCCTGAGATATTGGAACACTGCTATCATGTCCCCCCCTCGTCCTTCTCTTCATTTTCCCCAAAGGCAACTGACTTTCTTGATCTTTTTCCTTTGAAAACATTTTGCTTCTCTTCCAAGAAGCTTCTTCAGTTCTAACTAACTGAATGGGGAATGGATCCTGAATGAATAGTTAGTGAACAAATAATTAGAACTGAAGAAGCTTCTTGGGTGACAAGTGAAATGTTTTCAAAGGAAAAAACAAACACGAAAGTCCAGTTGCCTTGTGAAAAAAAGGGACAATCTTCCTTCCTTCCTACCTTCCTTCCTTCCTTCCTTCCTCTCTCCTTCCTTCCTTCTTTCTTTCCCTCTGTTTCCTTCCTTCCCTTTGTTTCAATCACAATATTTTTTCAATAAATCTTTATTTTCAAGAATCTACATTAGCAATAATATAGAATTAATGACAACCTGATTTTAAATTTCATTATAGAAATGTGTGACCAGTTAGGGAATCTATAAACTGGAGTGATCACAGATTTGAAGGGACTAGATTGAAGCCAATTACTGGAATTGGAAAATAAATTAAATAATGTAAATCTAGCTTGTTTAGTCTGGAAGAAGGAAAGAGAGAAGAAGGCAATTTACTAATACACAAATGTTTGAATGAGTATTGTGAAATCAATCCATAATAATAAAAATAATAAGCTCACAGCAAGAAACAAATCAACAGCATAGCTGCAGTTATAACTGAATATCTGGGATACAAAATCATCAAAGAAAAAAAGCTAAAAGTGCACCCCAAAATGAATGATCAGGGTGGAACATAAAATCAATATGATAAGATCAAATGCAAGCAAACTAAAATAGATAAAAAAGTAAGCTGAAGAATCAAAGAATAGCCAATCAAGAAATAGCAGAAACAAGAAAGATTAAGGAAGCACTGGAAATAATAAAGCAGCAAATAACAGTATAGCCAAGAAGGTCAGCAGATATCAATATTTGAATTTCACATTATAGACAAAATCTCTGATTTCAGTCAAATTAGAAACTTTTCTACCAAATAATGAATGGAGAGACTGCAATGAACAAGTCATCACCTGACAAAGAAGAAATAGTGCAGTTCTGGGTGCAGCAATGGGACAACCGAAAGAAATACAGCAAGAATACAGCTTTGATAAAGGAAGAGGATAAGAATAAAAAGAAGTTTGATTTTATGATAGCAGTGTTCCAATATCTCAGGGGCTGCCAAAAAGAAGAGGGAGTCAAGCTATTCTCCAAAGTGCCTGAAGGCAGGACAAGAAGCAATGGATGGAAACTAACCAAAGAGAGAAGCAACCTAGAACTAAGGAGAAACTTCCTGACAGTTAGAACAATTAACCAGTGGAACAGCCTGCCTCCAGAAGCAGTGAATGCTCCAACACTGGAAGTTTTTAAGAAGAAACTGGACAGCCATTTGTCCGAAATGATATAGGGTTACCTGCCTGAGCAGGGGGTTGGACTAGATGACCTCCAAGGTCCCTTCCAACTTCTTCTTTATTATTATTATTATTTTATTATTATTATTATTATTATTATTATTATTATTATTATTATTATTATTATTATTATTATTATTATTATTATTACAGCAGAAGTGGTAGAGAAAAGGGCAAGGAAGATCAAGAATTGGTCTGCACCAGGTGAACATGAATTGAATAGTTTTTGGTTGAAACATCTGACTTGTCTATAGCCACTCGTTGCCAAGCAGTTTAACAACATACTACAAGGAGGTGAAATTGAAGATTGGTTAACATCTGCCAAAATCTACCTCATAATGAAGGATACAGCAAAAGGAGCAGCATCAGGTAATTACAGGCCAATCACTGGCTTACCAACAACGTTCAAATTGCTAATTGGTGAGGTAGTTGATACAGTTCAACAGTATCTAGTTGAAAACAAATTTTGCACTTGAGCAGAAAGGAAATGGCCCAAATAGTAGAGAAACAAATTGACAAGATGATTTTGGAAAACTGCAAGAGAAGGAAGACTAACTTGAAGGTAACTTGGTTGAGTACAAAAGGCATTTAATTCCCTGGCACATTATTTGATCATCACATGCCTAAAAATAACAGGAGTCAGTAGAAACATCAACAGTTTCATGCAAAGATCAATGGCACAAAGGAATACATAGTTGTTGATCAATGGTGATAGATTGGGAGAGATTAATATCAAGAGAGGCATCTTTCAAGGAGACTCACTCTCATACTGTTTGTAATTGCACTGATTCCTCTGTCAGCAATACTGAACAAGTCAGACCATGGCTATCAAAGATTAAAAATATCTGCCAGGCTATCCTAACTCCTTTATATGGACAATCTGAAGCTGTATGGAAAAACACTATCTGAAATAGAATCTCTATTCAGCACTGTTTATATATACAGGCAAGTGTCAGATGTGAACAACCAGACCCACACGTTCAGAAGCTAACTACTTTATTATGTTCTGCCTATAATACAGGAATCTCCACAGACTGGGGCAGTCTTCTCTTGGGAAGAAATAGATACGACTCCAAGGAACTTGGGGAGGAGGTTAGTCCTAGCCCTTTGGTAGCTGTGCAGTGACTCCAGGTTAACTCTTTGTTTGAGCCATCCTTCTGGCCAGCTTGGATGCTTCCCAATACCAAGTTATTGCAATGAAGTTTGCACTGGACAAATATGCCATGTTTACCATAAACAGTGGAAATATAGTGAAAACTGAAGAAATCAAAATGTCCTATGGATGAAGGTGATCACTATGAAGATGGATATCCTTCAAGCTGACAACATCAACTCACTGAAGTCAAGAAGATTAGAAGTTCCACCTCCACCGCCCTTTGGCAGAGAGTTGCAGGACTTGGTGTCCGTAACTATTAAACAGATGACTGAGATATTTCAAACGTTTGATGTTAAAATGCAAAATAGATTTGATCAAGTGATGCAACAACAGCAGGACTTATTACAACGACAACAAAATTTATTACAGAAACATGAGGATTTTTGCTTTAAAGTTGCAATT